GTAATGGCTATGTGAAGCGCTCAAAAAAACTGCACAGCACAAACGCCCGCAGGCGAGAGACAAGAATGCATCTTCATCGGCAATGTCCATAATTCCGCCAACTAACAACGCAATGACCAACACTCGTCATTCGTTTCGTTTTTATTTTTATGATTCCCGACCATTCATCACATCGCATGATAGCAATGCATAGAATGTTTTTATCTAGCTAACAATGATAAACTCTTTGTTAATAATTTGGAATGTTAACGAATGGAAATGATTTTCTGAGTAATTCATTCAGAGTCACTGCCTAAAATTGCTTCGAAAATTTGATAAGAGTGAGTTGATTTCCCACATTCGTGACAAAAACTATCTAGCTGCCTGAGAGAGCGAATGATTACAGCATCATGAAATATCACAGGTCAAAAACTGTCTCTGCATTAAAATTTTCAATCTTATCATTTTCACTGATTAATCCTAACTCATAGTGCTTTTTCGTGTCTGCCAATGAAAAAAAAGATGAAGCAAAGATTTTCTCGAATAATTATTCGTCACTTTATAATAGACAAGACCGATAATTTATAACATAATAATTTCGGGCACGAAAAACTCTTGAGAATTTCTAATGTCGCAGCGATTCGAACAATGCCGCATACATAGCAACACTACATAAAAGCGTTGGGACTTCAAAGTTGCGAAAATGATCAATGATCAGAGAAGAGTGAAAATTTCAGCATAACGACTAAGTGCGTGTTCAACACGAAAAAAAAAAACAAACTCATATCGTACACAAGAAAAATCAGAAATTGATTACACAGAGAAGTTACTAAATTTATTTTGAAAAGCAGGCTATTTAATCCCATTTCTATCCACGTACTAATGAAAAAACAACTGATTTCTTCGATTCTACTTAATAACTAAACCATATTTGTCTATCGGTACGCTTCATAAGCTGCAGTTTTGTACGACTATCTTTGATACCATTCCGTTTTAATTATAGAACATGTATGACATTTTCATACAGTAATACATTGAAAAATCATTTAAAGAAATACAAGGTAACTAAAAAGGATCATGCAATCACGAGGAAACAACTACCAACTACACGAATTCTGAACATTCTACGCACAAAAACAAGAATTCAAACTTTCAATTCGAGATAGATGGAATTTGGAAAGTGGAAAGCACTTAATGCATATCTTGCAGAGTAAGGATCCATTTTTTGTTGCTTCAACACATCCTACATGCGAACGAATGGGCTTAAAATACAACATATCTCTAGGATGCTTCCCAGGAAGATAAACGCCCATTTAAGAGAAATCCCTCCCTTTTTAAGATAGTCAAAAAAGCCAGCATGGGTGGTCCAGTACATCGCACAGAAGTTTAAAAAAAATCGCATTGGAAAATTAAAAAATATGACGTATGTAATCGCTGGTGTATAGCATGCAGCCAATATATGGTAGTGTTCAATGTGGTAGAACGAAAGCGAAACTGTGAAATACGGAACTGGGGAGAAGTGATGCAGAGGGCAAAATCAGAATGTTCCATGCACAAAAAAAGAAAGATAAATCTAAGAACAGTCTATTTTACAAATGAACAAAGATATACCTATTTTAAAAAGGAACAAAACTATTACTTCTCAATTACGCGAACCTGTGATTCAGTATGCTTTGAATATGTGGTATTAATATTTTTGAGTTAACAGGACGATCTCAAGCCTGTTGCCACATGTTAACATGGCTTCGTGTGGTGGGATAGAAGATATTGCATCATTTGAGGAACATCTACTAGCCCATTCATATTCATCATCTGGCCACATCCAGACTAGTGCGTCGGCTTTGTCAAAAACATTGAGAAAATCATTCAAAGTTAGAGATTCAATGTGCATGTGTCAGCTCTCTACATCAAAGATGCAAAAACATGAGTGAAGCGTAAGCTTGACAAAACCATTGTAAGAACAATATTGTAAAACAATAACGAAACCAACAGAAGTAAACCGAACAAATAAATAATAATAACTTACTGGCAAGATGATCAAGAAGAAAGTGCAACACTTTCTGCTGGCCGTTCGGTTCGCCATATAGTTTACTTAGCTCTGGCGATAAGGGATTACCTTGCAATCCTGTATTTAAATAAAAGTCGAATGTAGGAAAAGTTCAATGAGATGAGCTTTGGAAAACACCAAATTATGCACTTGAATGTTAAACAAATTGACGTCAATTATATGAAAGCTTTTAAAATGAAAATTGCCAACCAGAGAAGAATCTAATTTGATCTATATTCACATAATTTTTGCATTTTAATCGAAATTACTGGCACATTTTATGTTGTCATTAGAACAAATAATACACACATAATGTCAAATTAAATTATCTAATAGATCAAGAATTGATAAAGTATTTACCTAATGTTTGCAGTCGGAATAGCTTTCCAAGTTCATAGGGAAGAACCCTAAGCAGATTACTATTGAGGTAGAGATGGCATAAAGAGATCATGTCGCCCAATTCGGCAGGTAAACTCCGCAACTTATTGAATGATAAATCTAATACTGTCAAATTTACCAGCTGCGAGATTTCGCTAGGAATTCTAAAAGAACAAAATATTCAGCTGAGTTGAATTATTGAAGTGAACATTTAACACGAAATCACTAACCCTTTCACTCAATCGATTTTCATTGCTTCCTAGCCATCCTAACCCTTATCAACAGGAACTTCACTTTCTTATGCAGTTTTCGATAACTCTATTTTATGCTGTACTTTTAAAATGCTATCGTTCATCGATACGAATGTTCAGCTCAGCAAAAAATTCTGACTAACCAACAAAGAAATTATTTCGAAATCTTTTAACACTGAAAAAGAAACTTTTTTGACTGAAAGCCGCACTGTGAAACCGTGATCATCATGTGTGATTTAATATTACTATCCAAACTGAGCTATCTAAAACTCCTGAAAAAGTTCAGTCTTTGTCAACTCCTCGATGAGAAAGTCGACAACGAAAGGATGAAAGTGTGCACAAGAAAATGAGACGAATTATCCGAACAACAAGTTGAATTAGCAAGTTCGAACAACGAACCTTGTTAACGCATTGCCGTTCAAAAACAACGCTGTTAAAGAAGTCATCTGCCAAAGGCCTGGACTAACGTTTTTCACTCGACCTAAAGGAAAAAGAAATGTTTGCTTGCAAAAGTTCAAGCATGATTTTATTTTATTCTTCTTACAAAAAGAGTTTTTCGACACGATCAGCATAGAACGAGTTACGCTCCAGTGAATATAAAATTTTTGAACTCAGCTTAAGAAATACCCTCGCGTTTGAATAAAGCAAATAATAAAAGTATAAAACATAATTCCGATGAATACTACCATGCACTTCGAGTTCAGTCCATCGAGGTTGTTTGCCTTGAGCGATTTCCTCTTCAGTCATTATTCGATGTATACGGTGCATTCCATTCAATAACTGCTTTTTTCCATCTGCATTCTCCGCTTTTGTGACCGGTAGTCCGGCCGAACCGCCCGGTTTGTAGTCGGGTGGTGAATCATCATTAGATATACTCCCACAAAGCATATCACAACTTGTGTTTGCAGGTGCTGATAAACGTCCATTTGCTGTAAAAAATTCGTTTTATATTATCCATTGGACACCACGCTATTTGATTATATACTCATATCATACGCAACTTTCAACCAAACAGGAATTTATTCATTGGCCATATCTCTTTCTGATCGGGAATATGCATACTTCACTACGAAAGCGAATTCTCATTACCAAAAAAAATCATCTATTCTAATGGGACACATTGCAAAATTCCTACACTACAAGTTCCACTTGCAGAGAAATGATAACTGACCAGGAGATGCTAAAATTTTCGTAGTATGGCATTCATTCGCCCAGAAACTAGAAATAAACAGCATTTCTACGCTTCCGAAGGCAACAGTCTTTCCATATAGTTTAGATCAAATTCTCTGCGCCAAACTCTTAAAAACAGTTATCGAGAATGAAGAATAATGAATCTGCTTCGGAATAACTTACTGGGACCATTGGCAGCCATTCAGAGATCATAAAAAGGTAGAAAGTTGTTGGGGTTCGTGAGAGACCGCAACCAAAATTTGTCCACTCAGCTGAGCTCGTCGTTTCTGAATGGATGGTGCTTGACGAGGGTCAGCCAAACGGCCTGAAACTGAATTCTTGCCAATCGTTCACACACCTCGACCGTACACGCCCACCGTATACAGCCTGTAAAAATAACATTAGGTTATCATGGGCATCTTAAATGACAACGATCAGATCATCTTCAACGACACGATTTACGAATTCTAATAGCACGTTGAGTGAATAATCTATGTGCAATGAATTTATTCTCTGAATATGCCTACGAAAAACAAAAATGACCGTTAGCAAGACGCGAATCTTTCACCACCAATTTCACATAGAGACGTAATATCATAACTTGTTCGAAAACAGATGCAAAAAATTACGGCGAACGGCCTCAATCAATACGCACAAGCTAACTGCTCGATATTGGTTTATATTCAATTGATGAAAATTAGAGTTAAAAACTGGAATGGTTTTGCCTTTTCAATGGCTT